GGCTCGGGCCGCGCCGCCCCTTGATGCGCCACTCCGGCTTCTTTCCCGCGCTCCCCGCCGCATTTGACAGTGATAAGCATTTGTGGCTCCTTCGCTTACCCTTCAAGCCCTATCGAAAACCACCCCGTGCTCACAAGAGGCAGAACGCTGTTCATCTTCATCCTCGGGGTGTCGGAATGACGAAATCTTATCGTATCAGATTAGCACATGCTCTGATCTGCCCGTCTACATGGCTGACAAGGATCTTCCCCGCAACAGTCTTTGGCTCGTCCTTTGCTGACTCCGGCGATGTAGTTGATCAGCACTCCACTACAGGATGAAATAAGTCTGAGTTAGAGTCGAGTGCCATTCAGTTACATACCAGGCGGAGCTTCTGGCACCAGTGGAGGAGTGTCGGGATCTGCAACTGGTGCTGTGGCCGCGGTCTTAGTGGACCGTGTGCTCGTGGTGCTCGCCGCCGTAGTCTCTAGCTTTTCGGCGGCCTTCAGGTCTTCCAGACTGTTGAAGGGAAGTAAGCTAATGAGGGACTCTAGTATCGGAACGAAGACATCTTGAGCGATGACTGCCGGTCGAGAAGGTTGCGAAGCAAAACACCAGGCCGTGCTACCTGCGCCGCCGCCTTCTCTTCAACTTCGCCCTTCTTCGGCGTGGCGCGGCGCAGAATGTGGGGAAGCTCATGCTCGATGAGGAGGAAGAACAACGAAAGATCGTTAGCCGAGAAGATGTAGAAGAGCGCCTCGAGACAGCGTTGAGTGGTCAAGTCTGCGATCAGTTGTCTGGGGAGCGCTCGGGAGAGAGATGCTCGGCCGAGCGCATGCCCAACGACAGCCTGACCAGCGGCTTGAGCGTGAGCGAGCGCAACGCATACCTACCATGAAGCACACCCGAGCGTGTGTCGTAGAATGCATAGATGCGAGAAATACAATCGCGTTGTATGGGGAGGAGCAGACGGGGGCAGGCGAGCGGCTCACCGCGCCTCAGGGGTCATCTGCGACTTCTTCAGCCATCCAACCCACTCGTATCGCCTATTCATCCGGTATCTGCAGGGTGATGCCGTACAATGCCGTAGTGTTGATACTATGGTAGTCATGAACGGACCTGAGGGTTATAGCTAAAGATGTATAAGCCGCACAAAAGACCAGTGAATGATTTATTAACCTACGAACCATCATGCATCATGAGGGCGTTGGCCAACTGTTGGACCTGCAGTTTTGGTCAATGCGAAGGCGCGTCGATATTTGGATCGAAGCTCCCTGTCGGTAACAAGTACGCGCAAAGGCTGTGGTGGGTTTGATCCACTGCCGTATACATGCGGCGCGTGATGCGCTACCTCCGGCCCGCTTTCCTATCTTCCCATGCCTCGATTGCCTCCTCTCCCTCCCCCTCCCCCTCTTCCATATGCATCTTGCCTCTTCTCCATACCCTCTTCTACTGTATCTCACTGTATCTTCCTGTCCTCCTTGTTTTTTTATCCTCTCGTTTGGCTCCGCCCATCGTGAGAAGAACCGCCCAGGAAGTGGTCGCTTCAGGCGCAAACACCCAATTCATCGAAGGATGCTGTCCGACCCTGCGTACGAACGCCCGGACTTCAGCGACGCTCTCCCCCTTGCCCCTTGCCCCATCTCTAAACTCCCGGACGAGTTGTTGACCGGCGTCCTGGCTTGCCTCGATGACGACTTGAACGACGCGGTGTATGAGTACGACGAGCGCGACGCGTCGGAGGCAGACCATTTCGTCCGTACCAATGTTCGCGAAGTCTGCGTCCGTTTCAACCAGGCGGTTCTTCGGAGCGCCATTCTGTGGCACCGCCTGCCTGCGTACGGCGAGCGACGTGCCGATGACATGAACAGACACCTCGCGCGCTTCCCGGAATCTTCCCTGGACGTCCGCGCTCGCTATCACTCTGGCGAGTGCACTCTGGAGCGAGCAAAGGACCTGACCTCCTTTTTTGAACAATTGTCCCGTCCGAACGTCAAGGCTCGTCTTCGTCGCCTGCACGTCACGCTGGTGGTCGAGGACGGACCAGCGACGAGAAGGTTGAAGGCCGCCTGGTCGGGGCTGCTTTGCGGGGAGCCCATGAGCAATCTCGCCGCCCTGACGGTGGTCGGTACGTTGCCCACCGACGTTCGTCAGCAATGTCGCATGCCGTCGCTGAAACATCTCTCCGCTCGTCGCTTCCCTTCCGTGGGCTCGGTCTTGAACGCTCTCCAGTTCCAGGACCTCGCTCGCCTGTCCCTGTCCCTGTTACCCAATTGGAACGATCTGGACCTCCTGACAACCCTGCAAGCCATGTCCGCTCTTCGACATCTCACCCTCGACTGCGCTGCCCGTTTGCTAGGGAGGGCACTGGACGCTGCCGAAGGAGCCGATAACCGCGTGATTCAGCTCATCCAGCTCGCGCGCCTCGAGCTTCGCGCTCCCGCCACTACCGTCCACCGTATTCTTAATCTTCTGGTCGCCCCGGAGCTCGTGGAAGTTGTGCTCGAGGTCACCTGCCAGGGGGCCGCGCCGCATGCCAGCGCCGAGGCCCAGTCATGCTATCAGGCTATGCTAGACATGCTATCATCTGTCCTGTCGAGACGACGACGACGACGAGGGTCGCCCGAGCTGGCCCAGATTGGCTCGCTGACCCTAAGACCTCGCGGCTTGGAGATCCGCCCAGGACCGACATACCCGGCTGCCCATTCCGAAGCCCTGCTATGCGGCATCGCCTGTGGCTCCGGCAATCCGGGCATATGCCGGTCGGGATGTAAGCTCGCGCTCGTAGACTTACTCCTGTCCGCCGGCACCGTTTGCGCCATGATCCCCGGACTGTCGTCGTTGATATTCGATCTGAATCCCACCGTTCACGACATAGAAGCCTGGGTCCGTTCACTATCCCGCGTGGAGAGCGTCCGCCTGCTCGTCCTCCCAATGCGCAGTGGTCGCTCATACGTCGAATTGCTTAACAAGATGCGTTTCCACGACGCCCTTCCGCATCTGGAGACGATCGCCTTCGAAGGGAGGGCGCCCGCCAGACTAGAGGCCGAAGCGGCGCGCAACTTGCTCCTGCGTTCAAACGCACTCTCGGATGCGCCACATATAGCGTGGTTCCGAATGGATCGATGGGATTCAGAAGGCACCGGTTCTCGCTTGGTACCAATACCCACGGGCGTTGAGGCCCGAGTGGGGAGATTGTCTCGCGATATGATCACCTTGTCGGTGATTAAGTCCTGAGGCAGTCCGGGTGAGCGAGAAGGCGCTTAGCTGAGCTCATCTCGCATCTTTTCATGACCCGCGGCCTGATAGAGAGCTTCATTGGAGCGGGAAGGTCGTCGCCTAACTTGAGTGGGATGGGAATCTTGCCGACTTCCTTTAACAATCTTCAAAGGTCATTGCAATCTTGGAAGGTCCTTCAAGGTTAGGCGATTCCTTGTGAGGTATGTACATGCCCTTCGAGCTGACGCGAACCTTGCATTGACCAAAACTCAGTTTAAGGGTTTTCGCTTTCCCCCGACGCAATGCGCGACCTCGCGCGTCGTTGAGCTTCAGGCTACCGCTGACCACCTTCAACCGATCAGACATGGGTGTACTTATGAGTTAGGGCTTGTCCACTGTGATTTAGCTTCTACTTTTTGCGTCTTCTATTGGTGTCTCTATTCGTACTATGTGCAAGTCTTCCGCATTGGTCATTGACACTCTGTGATACCGAGTGGTGTTGGCGCTGGCCGCGCCCTACCTCTTCTCAAACAAGCGATTAAAGCCTCTGTGAGATATATGGGCAGTTGGGCAAGCATCACGAGAACCTCAATTGCTGATGGTGACTCTACCCGAGGTTTGTGCACACGCCTCTTGCGAGCATCGCGTGAACATGTTTGACCATCGCCTGGTATAGTGCCGCGCGGGGTCCGAGCTGCCGGTACGGTGCGCGCAATCCTCCGGCGCGACAGTGCAAACTCAAGGCTTTGACCTCAAGCTTGATAGAACTGGTGAGTATCAATGGACTCCCTCTATCGTCGTCCCTCCAGCTTTTGAACTTTCGCTACCGAAGATTCAGTATGAGAATCAAGAACACTTCCGCGCTAAGTGTAGATCCGCAATCGTAATTGTATCGAACAACTTCGAAGTCAAGGAGAAAGACGCGATGGGTGGCGCTCTCCGACTACCAACGGCTCAGACATCTACCTATCTTAGCACAGACGTCTTTCATCACGCTTCAAGTGGATATCCAGGCTTCCTGAGCGTGTACTTCGCTCTGGTGCAGCGAATCATCACACCTAGAGATCGTCAAACCGGGGAAGAAGAGATTCAGGTGCTTCAACTTGGCTACATCGCGATTCGCCCGACGACTGCAGGCCTGCGCTCGCCCATGACCGGATAGTAGCGCCGACCGCTGTGACACGTTCTACGTTGCCGTATGCGTTGATATGACTATGGTCTAACCCTGCGAGCGCAATACTTAGCTGCGAAGCAGATCGGCGGTGTGTGCGGGAATGCCTGACTCCCCTGCTCATGCATCTATATGCAGATCAGACGTTCGTGAAGGAAAGGCCTTGCGGGCGGTTTTACCGTATCTCTGCCCAATCGGGTCAATTAACCCACGCTCGAGGTAGGGTATCGTATGAGAACGTCAGTCAATGATCACCTATCAACGTTCAACCCCAGTTCCAGCAGAGGGTACACAAATGCACAAAGCGTGCTGTGTGACAGACAAGCCGTTGATCATTTCCAATCACATCATGTAGTACATATTGAAGCTTAACTTTGAGCTGTGGACGTGAGAGGGAAGAATTCTATAGTAGGTGACGAGCCTATGAGTTACCCGGACACGCGCTTTTTGCGCTTGCTATTCCTATCGGTCCACCAAAGCTCACCTCTCTCAGTCGCTATGCGTTTCCTGCCGGATTGTCTGGATCAACATGTTGTCTATTGAGCATCTGAGCCACTCACCGTTTTCCATTTGTGTCCATAGTGAACCACGGTGTCACGGGCTGCACGGTGTGTGAAGCTGGAAGAACAGCGACTGCTTCTGTGTCAACCGACGTGTTAAGGGAAGTTGAGGGGTGGTGGAGCTCCAGTCCAAACTCTTGTGAACGCGCTGGGCATGACTCCGCCATCGATCCGTTCGTCTGAGAAGATACACCATCTTCCATGATGGATGTCGATGAACCATTTGCTAGTGATGTCTTGTGGACATTGCTTAGGTGAGACCTAGCAATGGGATTGCTCTGAAACCCATTACTCCACTTCTGTTCTTGACAAACATGATTTGGCTGATAGAATGAGTATGGATGACCATATGTACTCACTGATGAGTAATTCGGCTTGCGCTGAGATGTGGGCCACGAGATCGGAGTCTGTGTTCTGCGTAATCTCATCGGAGTGTAAGCTGGCCCGACGCCCGCCGATATGACCACAAGTTCCCGTTGCCCTGCGATGTATTCAGGGCCGAATAGCGCTTTTTACGAGCGCCTTTCACTCACTGATGAATGTTCTCGGGCCCAAATGTATACCATACGCAGACGCCGGAGCACTTTCTCGCAACGTACGATGCAACTTTCTTTAGAAGAGCGTTGACTTCAACGGCGAATCTAAGCGACGCTCAGTATGTCACTTATGGGAGACATTCAACCTTACGCACTCTTCAGCGTCTTCGGTCCCAGCGGGTTCCCATTTGAATTTCTTGTCCCATTTCTCCAAGTCCTCCTTGTAATAAAGCTCCCTCTTTCTCTGAATCTCGAGTTGAACGCTAAGACTTGATTGCTTGAGGCGTTCAGCCGCTACGTGGTGCACTATTTCTTCGCGGGAAAGCGTAGACTTCCCTATCACCACTGCTACACCCATTGCGGTTTCCATGAGGCCCTCAACCTGTGCTTCCATGTCGGTTGTCCAATACTCTGAGTCTTTGAAGATATCGGGCATCGCGCGGTGTCGTGGTGGCTCTGACATAGCTTTGAACCAACCGGGGACGTCGAACTCGCGGTCCTTCGCTGGTCCGCTCTTGACGTGGCTCTCACCACGCTTCCTCACGGTCTTCCGCTCTTGCTTGGCCGCAAGCGAATCTATGCCAGATGTACAGTGAGCCAGGTGATTAACGGCCGGAGGGGAACTTCTGGGGAGAGACTGTGACTAGTGGACAGTTCCGAGCCTCAACTAACCTCGCATGCCTGTATCGACTTGTCTCGTAGTTGAGACGGCTTGCCTTCGTTTGCTCATCGATGATGACGTTGGCATCTGCCCTGTGTGTCCTTGCAGTGGTGGTGGTTGGAAAGAGTGAACATGATCGTGATGTTGACGTTTGACATGGTCACGTTTCCAGTCACGGCGTCGTCTTCCTCACGGCATATGATCCGTGAGTCTATGATGCGCACCTGTCAAACTTGGCAAGTCGATTGGTAGGAGAGTAGTTCTTCGATGGGTTTATGCGCTCAAAATCCCGCGTCCCTCGGGGCTAACCTTGCTCGGGAGCTCTTACTTTATACTGGTCGCATTTCAAAGACTTGATACGAGCTACGAAATGTGCGGAAGACCCGTATGCGATGGCGATTCCGTTCAGGCGCGTGGCCCGCCGCGCCGGTTATATCTTCTTTCTTCGACTCTACGAATAACTTCTGAGCGTATTCTGCAGATATCCTCGTGCATAGCGAAAGATCGTGTGCAGCTCTCGAAGTCCGATATCGACAACACTCGTGCGAACCCGTGCGAATCCACCGCCCATTGATGCATGACATACGGCCCAAGCAAACATGCCCAACTCTTGCTCAGGCGTGTAGCCATCTAGTATGCAAGCTGCCCTTAGCCTATTGTTGCATTAAATATCTCGACGATAAGAGGGGTGAGAAATCGCTCATACCACAGAATAGTCGAACACACGCCGCGTGCATGGCCTCCTCCGTTTCTGTCACGCATCCGCATATCTTGTGTCCCGACCGATTTCGCCCATTCGCGAACATTTTGGAAGGTCTCATCCGTTGCTCTACGTCGTTGCTCTAGAGCGAACTGTGCCGACTCGGAACTGTCAGTACGTGGCTCTGCCTCTCGTTGAGCACGGGGTGTAATTCCCAGCAAGCCTCCGGCGCGGTCGGGACTGTCGACGTTCTGGTCTTCTTATGCATGAGGTGAGGATCTTAGCGGAGGTTCCATAGCATATCGCGCGTACCAGTCGTAGAGTCCGACACGGTCTCGAGGCTGGGCATATTGCTATCACCGTCGGAGTCATCGTCTTCCTGTCGTGTATGAGACATTGATGTCATCTGAACATTTGTGGTAAAGTGGCTGCACAGGAGTCCGATTCAGACGAAGAGTAAACGAAATGATGGAAGTACAAACATACGAGGGAGCACGAGACGTGTCCATGCTTGATGAGCCTGGTGGCGAGTAGGGTCCTCGTGGTGATGGACAAGCAGAGAAATGACAGAGATCTGTCGCCGAGCGCTCAAGTCGGCCGCGGCGGTGTCGCCGCATCAGACACAAGCACCTACAAACACCTGCATCGCCTTTCTTGGCTTCTCGTGAGTCTGCGCGCCCGGCTGTGCAACATCCCCTGTCTGGAATTTCCCATGCATGAGTACACCGCTTGGGCAATATAAGACGTCAGGAAGGGCGTACAATGGTGCGGATAATAGATGCCCATTAGCGCATTGCATACGCGGCCCGGTCCCTGTGTGCATGCCTCGGTGTTCGCTAGATGTCCAATGAAAATGACCGTCTTCTTCTCTGATATCGGCTCATTTTGTGGGTTTCATATATTCAGCCTCTAGCGTTCGTGGCATTGGTCCGGATTTGCCACGCTTATGGCATTGAGCGGCCACATCGCTAAGTCCAAGTATGACGAACAGAGATGGCCTGCCAAACTTTGTGCACAGGTGTCATTTACTCGAGGCGACTATGATGCATGATGTGTGTAGAGAGCTAAGGGGTATGTACTCGCGGTGACCAAAAGTTCCAGTCCACCCCGATTCGAGCTCTCGGTTCTCCCCGTGTTCGGCAGAGCCTATACGTCTACAGCATATTGTATCGTGAGTGTTTGAGGGTGCTCTGCATGCGAACATACCAACCACGTCTCAAAGGCGTACTACTACACAGCAGAGTTCACACGGATGTTCGGGGGGCGGACCGGAACTTTTGGTCACTGCGAGTACCGTACTCAATCGACCAAGTGTCCGTAACGTGTAACACTTGGTCGCGCCGCGAACTCTTGGGCGGTTCAGTAACACGTAACGGCACTCGCAGCGACTCGCTGAACAACGAAATCGTTACATGTCGTAAAATGTGAACAGTGTATTATTGTGGGAAAATAGAAGAGTCAAGAGTGTATACAGGGTATATGTATAGTGTCTACATCGAAGAGCGCTTGAAAACGAAGTCATTATAGAGTGTTACACGTCTTGCGGCGTTCGCCACGACCCAACTCCTCCTGGCCATGTTCAATCTCGGACAAAGGAAGCTCCGGTACATCGAGCTTCTCAGCATCTTCAAGGCGAGCTGCACTACACGGTGCATCGCCAACAAGAACACCCATAAGATCCACAGGACCCAGTGCCGTGTCATCGTCATCCATCCACAACTCCTCATTGGCATCGTCTTCAACCTCGCGTCACCCTCGCCGTCTTTGCTCTGCAGTCGCTGTGGTGTTGAACCCATCACGATATGAATGAGTACACTGAACAACATCCATTGCGAATACCGGCCCAGTGAACACCGCGCGCATGAACCGGAATCTCCAGAACGCGGATGTAGCTGGGCGTCATGCCGTCTGCGAGGGCAGACTGGCGGCGAAGAGAGTATCTGAGTATAACGTGAGTAGATCTCATAAAGGGATGGTATGAACGACTTACACTCCTCCATTAGACCGTACTCTTGCTCGTTGTAGAGACTCCAAGAACAGACCATGGGCGAACCCCACGGGAGATGCCGGTCCGAGGCCGCGCAGAGTTCAATCCAGCCCAGCTTTCACCATGCTATCGCTCAACCATCGACACGATAGGAATGCGGTGAGCTCCTGAGGCGTGAGGAGCTCCGAGCCATCTGGCCGGCGTAGTGATTAATCAAGCGGAATGTGCTGCAGGCGATTGCGAACATCCTGGGCGACGAGATGCTGAGTGATTTGGGCGACACCCTTGAATCCTTCAGCGAGGTACGGGGGCCTCAATGCCAGACATTTGACGTGCGAAGGCGCATGCCCTGCAAGAGGCGCAGGCCCCATAGGGGGATGCGAAGAGCTGGCGCAATTGGCCACCATCGCGATATTGTTCCGCGAATGTCGATGTGAGATCATGGGAGTGATGCATCACACTGTAGAGAAGATCGGGAGCCTTCATCGAAGAGGGATCAGGATGCACTAGAGGATTAAGTGGCTCGTCGGAGAAGATAGGAGTGACCGATAACGCCGGTAGACAATCTCCACAGTTGGCGGCACCGGAAAGAACCATATCCGGATGTCGGGGAAGCAAGAAGTCGACTACACCATCGCGAATTTAGCGTACAGGGCTTGCTGCAGCCTCGTCGGTCTGGGGAACAAAGGCAAAGTCATCGTCGTGCACCGACGATGCAGGACCACTACAAGTATTCTCAGCTTTCCGCCATCGCAACATAACGAAGCACGTACACTCATTTGAAGCCCTAAACTGAGCGTGCCATATCTCGTGAGCATCGCGCAGTAGGGATCATGGCTGAAACACTGACCTTCTCCATTCATGTCAAGTGCGCTTGCAACCTCATAAGGCCAAAGGACAGTACGACAGCATTGTCCTCGCGGTGATCATCGCCGGCCGCGCATCGCTGGAAAGACCTGAGAATGCGCAAGGCGTCTGCAGATGTCTTGCACAGCGTTGAGACCAGCTCTGCATAACTCCTCAGCATCGACGCGTAGTTGAGGGCGTGTCGATACTACTGACCGGGTTCTTCATCCCTCCACTTGAGAGAATGATCATCGCGGTGACAGGCCACTTGGCAGTCCTATCCACCCCGAAAGGAGAAACGATGTGAGAAGGCCGCTCAAATTCGGTATATCCCGTCACCTGGGTACCCTGCGTGATAGGATGAGCACAAGTTGCACCAGATCAAAGCCATGTGCGGATCTTCCTTGAGTTGCCTGTCCAGTTTTGAGTCTTTGCCTCTGAAAGCGAGCTGAACTTGACGTGGAGTCTCCAGCACCCTTGAACCGTTTCTTGGGGATCCTATCAAGCTTCTCGGATGTAGCGTCAAGAGACGAAGGTGGCGGAGGTTTGGATACGCCACTCGTAGGAGGCGCAGGAGGCGCGCTAGCCCGCGCGGACGCTAGAGAGCCCGAGGTCTCATGTGTCATCCCTGGACGAGTTATCCTTGCCCTCGGCGACCTCGGAGAAGACGCCCATGCACATCTTGACGGCAGCCTTGCGGATGACTTCGGATATCTTGTTCTGCTTGAGCGTCTCGCGGGAGATGTTGAGTGACGACGTCTAATGCCGTGCCGAGTGCTCTCACGCGCAGACCGTCGCTCTCGAAAGCCAATGCAGAACCTCCGTCGTGCACTGGGTGCGCGCAGAAGTCGACCAGCGCGGGGAAGGGGGCGGGCACACTAATCAGACGCGAGGGTGGGCGATGAACACGACGTTACCCTGCTCCGCCTTCCACCGACCGAGGTACCGCACCACCACTCGCCGCCTGACCTGCGCGGTAAGCACGACATTTTCGCCGGAAGCTAAAAGTATCGATCAGCTGATGATGTTCATCTCGTATCAGGAAACTCACAGATGTCTGCTGGACGCTGGCCCTCGTACAGGTACAAGGTATGGGCGCGCATAGTCTTGCTTTTGCCAACATTGTCCAGTGTATCAATGGCCTGTGGCACCAACTCGCGCTCTCATGCGCTTCAATCTCGGGATCATCACCATTCGCCTGTGTAGCCGCCTCATCTCCATCTTCCTCCCTCGGCGCTTTCAGCCCACTCGGCTCCCTGCTCACAACACCTTGGTCGACCGCGAGATCGGCGTACCGATTTAAGCTTTGCCTGTTCCCAACCCGGTTTGCATCATAGCCCGGCCCCGCAGGGGCAGGTGGCGGCGGAGGAGGGGGATGCTTATGCGAAGGGGATGGTGCGCGTTCGACAGGTGCCGCCTTGATGTGAGCAGAAATCGCCGAGTCGCCGATGACGCGTCCGCCGACGGGGCAGCGCTGCGGTCGTTCGTGACCCTGAATAGTAGAGAGCAGTGCGCCACGCTCTCTAGGCGCCACGGCAGGCGGCGGCTGGGCCGCGAGTGTACCAGGAGCACGAGGCGGTGCGAAGTGCAGCGGGAGGCACCGGAGGAGCCGGGGCTGGCGCAAACGACGCAGACGTAGGGGTAGGAGTACTCGATACACCGGCCGCAGATGTCGGTCGCGAACCAGGAGCAGGCGACGAGTCGGAAGAATGCTTCCGAAGAGCTGCTGAGCGATCTTAGCGCCCGTATCGCAGTCACCGCTGATCTTGCCGTCTGAACTGTCACGCCAACATTGTACAAGCTTGCGGGGGCGGACCTGTGCAGACGACGCACAGGGAGGAGGGATAGCGACTGGAGGTGCAAGTGGTGCCGGTGAAGGCGATAGGGCAGCGCCCGCTTGGTGACGCTTGAAGAAGGGTTTCGTACCACCGTTCGCGGCAGGCGGTGAAGACACATATGCTGTAGACCCGCTGGCCATCATATTGCTGAACGGATTCGTCTTTCCCGGGTTGGTCCCCGGCGCAGGAGGCGTAGGCGGATCCAAAGAAGACGGCGGTGCAGGGGCTGGCGGAGCTGAAGCAGCCTGAGCACGAGCGTGCGCTTGCTCGGCTTCCACTACCTCCCTCCTGCCACGCTCAGCAGCTTCCCTCCTCACCTCCGCACACGCCTCGGGCTCTGCTTCTTCACGTTTGCGCTCTTCCTTCCCTTGAGCTTCGAGCTCACATGGGCAGCCGGCGCAGTTGGAGGTGCGGGTAGTGCAGCAGGTGCACGCGAAAACGGTAGCGAAGGCGCATGAGTAGGGGACCTCGGAGAGTTCTTGAGCACCCTACCCGGCGGGACGGAGCAGGCACCTTCTGCCCGCACCCGATCGGGCGATGGCACCTTTCTAGAAGCCACGGAGGGTGCGGGCGATGCGGGCGGTTCAAGCGCCGACGGCGTAGGCGTAGTCGGGGACTCCGTGATACCACCCTCCCGATTGAGACGCCGCGCTCGCGCTCCTCCGCGGCCTTCCTGGTTTCCTTCTCCTCTGCCTCCTTACTCTGCACTCTCCCGTGCAAGCCGGTCTTTGACGCTCGTGTCGGCCTTGCTTGCATCGCTTGGGCTTGGTGAAACGCCCAGAGCGGTCATGCATTCCGCGAGACGTTCCGCTGTACGCATGCTTCTCGGGAGTCGTGTGCTGTGTGCTGCGGCTTTGGCGCAGGCGAGGCTGTCGAAGCAGGGGAAGGTAGTTCAGGCTTGGATACGCGACTCGTAGGAGGCGCACGAGGGGCGCCAGCCCGCGCGGACGCTGGAGAGCCCGAGGTCTCATGTGTCATCCCTGGACGAGTTATCCTTGTCCTCCGCGACCTCGGAGAAGACGCCCATGCAAATT